CGGTAGCCCCGGGTTTGTTGCACTATGCAGCTCTCTATTGCGCGCTGCATTTATTCTCAAAATGCATGGAATACTGACTTCTCTACATCAGTAAACTTCTTTCGTCGCACCATGGTTTATCTTGACTTCAGTTGACATATTTGATGTTTCACATTGCAATTTGAGGTCAGTGCTGGTAATTTAATCACATGATCCTGGCGATATAATTTCATTTCACATAGCACGGATGAAAGCCTCAGGTCTGAGTTTTCTAGAAGCCCGTGACTAATTCAGGCTTCCCAATCCTCCAAAGAGAAGATTGGCCTCTTCAAGTGTGACAGAATGTAAGGAAAGGTTTCATCAAAACAGCTCCGTTCACAGTCGAACCAACGGATCTAGGACAAAGGCAATTACCGCGAAGCGGTCTCCAAACACCCAACTCTCTGATTTCTGTAAACAAACAGCATTCCTTTACACATTACCAGCTTCTTTTTATCAAGGATTAATCAACTCAGTGCCCTGTCACCTGCTTATTCGTGAATTACAGGAAGCTGACTATGGCTAATTCCATTAGTTGTACTAAGCGGTGGTTGTACTAGCTTTTGAAGTATGAGTGGGCAAAACAATTGTTTACAGACTTTGGCATAGACATCAACAATGTAATGGGACAAAAATGATTGTCTGAAAGAGATCTTCACAAATAGTTTTCCATCATAACACATGGGTTACTTTATCCGCATCAAGCTCAGTTTTCTGTTTATCCATTACAAAGGTAGAAAGCATTTGTTCTTCTCTGAACTGAGTGGTGGGGGGGGGGTTGGAACACAAATCGGTCCAGATTATTTCTCAACTGATTCGTGGTCACCATCTTCTTTATGAACCCATTTGTTCCGTAGTGAACCGGGCTGGTTTGACGAGAACTCTTTGCGTTGACTGAGGCACTTGAATATTTCTCATGTTTGCCGCAAACGCAGACCTGGTGAGTTCAGCCAGACCAAATACGATTTGTCAACATCCGTTTAAGATCATCTTGCAAGGAGTGATGATTGTAACTTGTTTCTTACGTTCAGCGATCGGTCAAAACAAAGAGATTACCTTAAATGACGTGAATCTGATTTGCAACCTGGGGAGTTGATTCGGAAACAAACAAGTCTCGTAGAGTCATTGCAATAGGTGGGTGCTAGATGTTGTGGGTTGGAAGCGTCCACCCCTAGCCAGCTCGGTGCCAGGACTGAAGCATCGAACACAACACCTAAAATGGATCAATCGCAATCATTCTTCGAAGCTTATTTGTCTCAAAATCAACTCCCCAAGCTGCAAATGAGATTTGCGTTTCCTGACCCACATCGTCAGACAGAAGATTACCGGATATGCATAGCTGACGAGCAGCAGGTACCGCAAAACCGATCATGTGCTTCCAATAAATTTTGTCCTCGCATTCCTACACTTTCCTCACCAGATGCACAGATTATTCAGGGGTGTATGTGAATAGACATGGGAGTTGATATCACGCCTTGCTATTTGACATTGGTTTGCCAGATAAAACTGTAACGGAACCACTGCTGAGACTTCGATTCTGCGAAACGTTTTTGACTTGATGAATCCTCTGATGGTCATATTCATCTGAACACACTCGACGTGGGTGTTAGAATATGTTACAACGAAATTTACGATATACGATATATGGGCATATATGTGAATATATATATATATATGCGGAAAAATACTATACAGTTGGATGAGATTACCTAATAAGGAGAATATGGAGGGGTCAAGGGCAGTGATATCCGAGATCACTAAGACTAGTTTCTGAATGAAAACCTGATGTGTTATACACGATGGTGGTTCATTCGATCGTCCCGATTCATCGGTGTGGTCCGCTGGGAGGGGGGACCTCATGAGGTTATGGGCATGCATAAGACTTGTGGGGGACAACAATTATTCAATGTGACGGGAGGGCAATAGGAGAGGTGGAATGCAAACTTTCACCAGCTCTATTGTGGTCGGTGGAGGAACAGATGTTGGCATCCGACGTCAAAAGCTAAACTGATTGGCGAGTGCCTCAGCCCCACCGACCGTTGGTTTTGTGTCACCAAGATGTGACACCACA